CCTGCACCCCAAGGGCCCCTGGGCAGCGGCCCCGCTGGCCCGGACCGTAATCCGTCCCTGACAGTGAGTCCAGAAATAAGTGCCAACAGGAGACTTGGAGGGGGGGTTCTGTGATTCGCTGGGAAGAAACGACCAATACATCCTATTAGATTGACCTGATGCATAGATCCATGGAGGCCGGTATGGTCAAATAGAAATTGTTTTTTGTAAAAGTTTTTTGTGTTTTTTCCAATAAATTTTCTAGTACAAGGATTTTAATATTGTTAAATACCTGTGTAACTCTGCTATGACATGAACATCCTTATTAGGTTATGAATATGTGATTTAATAAATTTTACAAATGTAAGGAGGGTACGTAATAAATGGAACACCAGTACACCCAGTGAAACCAGTGACAGATAAACGTCTCAGGTGGTTTTGTGTTTGTCTTGGGAGGCCTTGGATGTTTTTATGTGACTGATTCCTGTAACAGAACAGAAACCACAGCAGTGTTGTAGCTGCCCTGCCGGAAGCCGCTCACCTTACTCTGCTTTTTCAAACAGCACACAGCGGTACAGTGGGGTGTTTCGGTGTAACTTGTGGTTCATATATTTCATTTAATATCCTTAGGTTATGTCACTGTAGGTACAAAAACATCTTAAAAATACCTAAATGAGTGCAAGCTAATACAATTATGCCTTTTCATTTCAGCTGTGGTTTTTTTGTCAGCTTGAGCCCAGTTACTTAACCAAAGAAACACAAAAATGCAAAAAAATGTAAAATCCTTTAATAATAGTGATCATATGCAAAAAAATGTAAAATCCTTTAATAATAGTGATCATATAAACAATTGCTGTGTATGTTATTTTTGATACATATGACAACTTAATTGATAGAAATATTGTCACGTAAACCCATACTGTGCATACTGTGCATACTGTGCATTGTAGTTTGGTTAAACAAATGTCTGAGATTCTAATTCCTCAATTCTAGTCTCCAGTTCCCAGATTCTTTCATTAGCAGCATCCAAAGCATCTGAAGTAAATGCACTTTCCTTATGTAATTCAGTTGGTGTTGGATAGACCCTTAATATTTCTGGGTTTATAAAACAAAAACATGACATTTCATGTCAAACTACTTAGACATTGACTTTAACTCACGAACAAAACAGACAGTAAGCATGTTTAATATTTGCCATTTTCCTCCGTTAGATCACATTTACAATGAAAGTGCTATTCAGTTATTGTAATAAAATATGACTTTTGTGTAGAAATCAATAATAAGACATAAGGTGGAATATATCATTAATCCTGAGCAAATAAAAATGACACAAGGATTCCAAAGCTATCGATTGTTAATATTTTGAGCTGAACAAATTGTAAGGACAAAGTTTTGTTTTAAATGAGGGGAAACTCGAAAATGTGCATCGCTCTGGCCCTCCAGGACTGGAGTTGGGCACCCCTGATCTAAAGGATGGAGTCCGTTTCAGGAGGAGAAAGAAACGGAGAGTGAGGAAGGGGTAGAGGAGGATAATGCACATCATAGAGTAGTGAGTAGCAGGAGGGTGGTGAGGCCCCCAACCAGGCACACGCCAATGCTCCCCCTGGTGGTGAAAGGAGCAGACACAGTATGTGCCGTGGGCAGGACAGGATCCTGTAACCTCGCTGTTGCAATAAAGACAATCTGAAGATCTATGCAAGCGGCTCCTGACTCCTGATTGGCGGAGGAAGAAAAAAACCACAACACAATTATGGTCTGCTGTTGAATCAAGCAATCAGTTTGAAAGCAGGCCTACCATGACCCCATGCAGAGTGACTGGTAGGGGAGACAAGAAGGAAACAACTTTGAGACACCAATGAGACAAAAAACCTTTTTATTTGTGGGGCAAATAAAGTGCACATATGTTTAAAAACAAATGACCTCCCAGCAACTAAAACAAACATTTATTTTTTAATAAACCAAATAGAGTGTAGGAGCTCTGAAATAACCGGATGCAAAAAATAACCGACACCTACCAAATGAAAAGAGAGCACTTCTAAAATGAAAATAAATATATATACATATTGCGCAAAGCGGACAGAATAAATAAAATGAGCAAACTTAAATGAGATGTGCAGGACTGACATCCTCTTCATTCTCTGAAATGTAGACAAGCACAAAACAAGCATATATCAGCAACAGCAACCACAAGAGTAAAGTAGTAGTAATACCATATTAAATCTTTTAAATGTTCAGTGAAGGTCACTTACTGTTGGAGTTGCTTTAACAGGCCCCTAACATTGTGAATTGTCAAACTCATGTCCTTGCACGTTTGCAAAAGACCGGGAGACTCAGCCAGGACTCTGTGGATCTGAAAAGACGGTATTTTGTTTCATTCATGTTTCTAATTTTAAAAACAGTGGCATTAATTGACAGCATACTAACCACGGCTGTTTTTATTGGACTTCCCCAATATGGCTGGAATTTATCTTTCATCATGTCCTTGAAGGTGTTGGGATATGTCAGTTTCCGTCTACGGAGCCGTGTCTGAGGTATTTCAAAGAATATGACATTTCTTTCATCACGGCACATTACCACAAAAACATAAAATTTCCCAGACACATTAAAAAACTTAAATTGAATGCCTTGGCATTACCTGAGAACGTGGTACTGACTTTGGTAGACGACAAGGCGACTGTGAGAAAGAAAAAGATGCGTTTTCAGTTTCACACCTGCATATACATTTCTGTTCACAAATATTATAATGCTTCAATTCCCAAAATAATTAACTGGTGAAACTTACTTCGCATTCCTGCTCCTCCTCCTTCACTTGCTCCTCCTCTTTTACCTGCTCCACCTCCTTCACCTGCTCCTCCTCCTTCACCTGCTCCTCCTCCTTCACCTGCTCCTCCTCCACCATCTGCTCCTCCTCCACCTGCTCCTCCTCCACCACCACCTCCTTCACCTCATCCTCCTTCACAACCTCATCCTCCTCCTTCACCTCGTCCTCGTCCTCGTCCAAGAGCAACTTGAACTCCACCTCCTCAGTAAATTCTTTTCCCTCATCTGCCCCCAGCTCATCAGCCATCACAACACTGTCAGCTGTTGGAAATAAATACGTGATTTTAGTCTCACCATCACTTTTCACTTGCTAAAGTGATTAACTTGTCTTTTCCTCCACAGGGCGTGTCACCTTCTGTCACAGGTGTTTGGGGTAGCACCTGCACTCCGCTGGTTTCAGCCACGGACGCCTGACTCTCCCCAGTGTCACCACCACTGAAAGCACCACTCGTACCTTCGCCAGAGTGGCCTTTCTCTGTCTCAATCTCCTCCTCCTCAGAGGAGGAGAGAAATGCAGCAGCTATCCGTCGCCTTCGGGTGATCGCCATCCTCTGCATCTTCCGGTCTTTGACCTGCTGCCTATGCCTGATCACTCTCCTGCTCAATATTTTCAGTTGGCATTTGAAGTGCCGCAAGAGGCTGGTAATCTGTCTTCGCCCCAGCTGGACACAGGAGAGCTGGGCGTGCAACAAGAAGCGGCAAAATTTTGTCACAGCCAGAATGTAATTCTTCACTGCGCTAAACTTTAATTTTTGATTTAGACTGGACAGCCAGGCATTGACTTTGGACATGTCCAATAGATATTTTAAATGGGCATCTGCTGGGGACTGTGGATTGTCCCACATAAAGTTGACAAAATTTGTAATATACATCAATTCTTGCTTTTGGTTTTGCCTGTATTTTGACGAGGCGCCGACCCGGAACATGCTCTCCCTATACTTGGCCAGTACCGAATCTAAAAGGGAAAAAAACCCCAGAAAATTAAAGTTAATCCGTTTAATCCCACCGGCAAAAATTGTGTGCACTGACATAAACGACATGACATGAAAAAATTCATAAATATCTGTTAAGTCTTATATGTTTTACCATGACATTGCAATTGTAATTCTTATTACCAGAGAAGAGCAGCTTGTGGAATGCCTGCAACACAGCTGAAGATGGATGACTGGAGAAATGCGCTAGTTGCTCCTCTAGCTTTGCAACACGCCGCTGCAGGTCTTTCATTTCGTCCGGTTCAGCCTTGGGTTGACTTTTGAATTCCTGCAACGACTGACGTGCCGCGTTCTTTTTGGCAGCCGTGATCTGGGTTTTAAGAACACAAGAACATAAGAAATTTACAAACGAGAGAGGGCCATTCGGCCCATCAAGCTCATTTGGGGAGAATTTAACTAATAGCTCAGAGTTGTCAAAATTTTATCTAGCATTGATTTAAAGGAGCCCAGGGTTTTAGCTTCCGCTACACTAGCAGGAAGACTATTCCATACTCTAACTACACGCCGTGTAAAGAAGTGCTTCCTCAAATTTGTTTAAAAATGTTCTGACACTTTGGGCAAGACATAATCACGTGAAATGCTTTAAGACAATGAACTGTTGTGGAAATTTGCTGTACAGATACAATTAAATTGAATGGAATGTAATGGAATACCTGCCGCTTCAGCTCATCTCCCTCCAGCCGGTGGTACACCCTCAAGTGTCGGTCAACGCGGGAAAGGTTTGTGGCTAAGCAGTTGGCCAATGGGCAATTGATCGGCCCAGCAAACCTGCCCGATGACACTGAATTGATGAGCCTCCTCTCTGTCTTACTGTCCACCTTATGGAAATCACGGAGGTGGACGGTGATATTAAAGCGAAAGACGGCGCACAGGGGGCAGAGCTGGGGCTTGCGGCCCATGATGCAGATCCGCACCTAATAATCAAGACATTTCGGAATTATTGACTATCCATACAGAGGCACATTTGATTACATATATTTCAAAGTGCATTTCATTGCTTTATTCATAAGTGGTAAAGTATTTAATCATTTACATATTTAATTTCAATTACAGATTAAAGACATCATCCACCAAGTGGTGATACACGTATATACAGGGGTTGACATAACTGGTAGGAAAGTATACGCATACCATACATGCCACAATCGATTGTTGTAACAGCACAAATGCGTACTTATTTTATGTGCATTTGCGCTGAAAAGACAAGACTATCGTGCATTGTAACCTTCATAAGGCAAATGAAGTACGGAATAGCATAACGGCTAAAATACCCAATAATTTCTTCTCATATCAGCAAGACAGAATTCATTTTTTTTTTTTATGTGTCCTGTCCGGCAGCTTTCACAAGCAGAATAATAGTCTGAATGCACTGCTGTGTCAGACATATTTGCTTTACCATGAGGGGCTCTATAAACTCTGTATAGGCCCTTCATGTTGGTCAATTTCTTTTTATTCGTATATTTATTGTATCTTATTTACTACATGTAAAATATTCCAGTTGTCGTGCTGCCCGGAATGGAGTGATAGATTAGGAAAATGAGTGAAGAAAAGGGGTAGGGAGAGAGATTAAAGAGAAAGAAGGAAAGAGAGAGAGAGAGAGAGAGAGAGAGAGAGAAAACACGAACAAAGGCGGAGACAACAGTGGGACAGAGAGGCTAAGAAAGACAGGAGTAACGTAAAAAGCACATAAGGCAAGAAAAGGAAAAAAAAAAAAAACGCTTTTGAAATACAACCAAAAAAGCATAAATACAAAGACACAACCAGAAATAAAGAAAATAAAACAGATATACAGACATACAAAATTTTAGCATGTGCTTGGAAGGGAGCGTGGAGGTGTATTTGCACGTGTGTTTTCATCTGTTTGGGGGAGGTGTTTGAACACGTATGCGTGTGTTGGGTGCGTGTGAATTTCTCCATGGAATGCACTTGATAGCGAGGGTGGGGGGCCGCAACCACACCCCACAAAAACCAGAGGCCCAGGAGACCCAAGGCGTCCGCAGCCCCCCAAGAGCACGGAAGAGCCAAGGCCCCATGTCCCCACGACAGCCGGGTCCCCACCCCAGCAGGAGGAGGAGGGAGGACCCAGGCGCAGCCCCCGCAGCCAAAAGGGCACGAGCCACAGAGAACCAGAGGCAACAGGCAGCCGACCCCGCGAGGGTGACGGCCGCTCCCGCACGGGCCAGGGCTAGGGCCCCAGGACCCCAGGTGGCCGGGAGCCAACCGGCCCCCGGCAGAGAGCCCCACCCGCGCCGGAGAGGCCCGAGCCCCCCCCAGGCCACCACCCGGAGAGGAGGGACAGCAACCATGCCAAGGAGGCAGCCGCGCCCAGGAAGGAGCAGCTAGCCCCGGACCCAGGCCCACACTGCCCACACAGACACCTCGCAGACACACCTCTCAGCCATACACATAGACCATACATCCACTCACACAACATACACGGACACATACACAGAGACAAAAAGACATAAGCCCATCCACTCCAGACCGCCCTCCGCCATGCGGGGGAACGGACGCCCCCCCCCCAGCGCCAGCCGCAACCCCAGGGCACCGCCAGCCGGACGACTACCCGAGTGCCCCCCCACCATC